GCCCCCCGCCCCTCACTGTTAGCGCTGGTGCGTTTTCTGGCTGTGCAACTTAACTGCTCAAACTTATTTTCATGCTGTTTAATTTAAATGAGGCTTTTGCATAAGACGCCCAGGTTTTATGTATTCTTCCAGTTGTCATAGTTTTGGGAAACATCTCCGCACATTTGGTTCTTTGTTTTGCTGTATTTGCGTGATGTTGCTGGTTTGGCGCACATTCATGCAGCCACATATAAGCTACAGACCGTGTATTACAACATATCCTTCCAAATGTAATCAGACATACAGAAGCTACCACTATTCCCAATATTAGCATTAATGCACCTTTTATTATAAATTCCTAATAAAGTAAATGTAAGCACATTACTCCTTCTGGGAGATAGTGGCTGTACCTGTCAAGCAGGTGTTACAGAACATAAAGGACTGCTGTTTGTATCTTTAACTCAACACTGCCACCCAGTGGACTAACATATATATATATGTGTGTGATTTTTTTTTTCTAGTTTACAAAAATATCTTTAAAGATGTCAGTGTAGAGTTTTTCCTTAACTGTTAACCCAGTGTATGGATTTATTTGTAAACCTATAGAAGACGTGTATTAGTGGATGAAAACAATGGGCATGCAGAAATATATCACTCTCTTCACTGTAATAATAAAAAAAAAGGTCACAATTCAAATACTATATTATTTTATTTACCTGAAACCACAACCTCAGTAATGCATGTACAATCATCATTAGTCATCAATAATGATCGTCTTTTTACATACGGTTAATATTGTTCTTCGACCAGGTGTCTCTGAGGGGACTGCACAAGCCCCCTCACATTAGATCACAGTTTTACAGCAGTTGATAAGGACACAGTAATAATAATAATAGTAATAATAATAATAATAATAATGCAGAGGCAATAAGAAAACAGAACTGTTGTATTGCAAAAAATACCAATGAATCAAAGTGTCAGTCCGTTGTCCTCATTGCAAAGGACTATTTCATCATAAAGTAAATGTATCAGTGATCGGCCTACAGTAGTTAAAAGGGAAAAATTAAAGTAAAAAAAGTTTTCTAACTCAAGTAGAGCACAGTCAAGTTCATGAGTCATTTCTCCACATCTTATATTGTGCAAATAACCCAAACCGTTACAATAAAAACAGTGATTTCCTAATATCTGCGATATATCCATCTTAAAATGTCATTCGATTATTATACATTAGAATCTATAAATACAAATCGCAAAGCCTACATACAGCTGCAACGCATGCATGAATGTTTTTGTACACTGATGTACAGCTAAGACCATTCAACCCGGTGTTCTTAAAGATTCTCTACGTGACAAGCTACCATGGAAGATGGAAACAAGTTCTTCATGCAAGGAGGAACGTTGAGGGTGTTGAAAACTTCCCCACACACAAAACTGGAATCGTGTCATATAGCATCTGCACACAGAGGTACAAGTGTAAGAGTGTGTGTGTGTGTGTGTGTGTATTCGTGGTGCATGTGGGCAAAAGGGAAGCATTTCAAGCCCAAAGCACTTTTAAGTATACCCTTATGTATTTGGTCTTATTACTGTGAAAACATGTCCCTTTTTTTTTTTTGTCTGTGCAAGGGTACACACACACTGCTGGTCATCATGGTGTCTGAGGTGTGTGAAGTTAAGAGTGAGCACACATGCTGGACGGCAGGACGACTCCAGCCTTCGAGTCCACTCTTTAAAATTTTGCGAAGCTTTTATTCGAGCCAACCTAAAAAAAGGGAGAGAAAAATTGTTAGTATAATACACTATTAAAAAAAGAGCAACTCGCATCTCAAAAATCGCACTTTTCTTTAATTGCACTATCAACAGTAGATATTGTGAATATAAGCAAGTGTCAGAGGGGTGAAAGGAACAGCACACAGTGACATTCACAATAGTGGCATGTGGTCAACATCAATGCTTAAACTTAATTCCCCCAAAAAACTTAAAGGGAGGCACTCAACCATCTATTTCTAGAAGTCTCTGCTGTCCTCTTGTTTTATTAGATTCTACTGTAGTCAACTATTTAGTAGAAAGTGAAAAAAAGCAAACGGATACTCACTCTAGTGACAGGGGAGCCAATGGAAGGCATTGAGGAAGAAAAGCACACAGTTGTTGTTAAGTGGAACACAAACACACAGTGAGAACAAACCCAGGCTTCTACCCAAAAAACATGCTTTAGTCGGGGTGTTTTTTTCTTTTTTACACATGGAATTTTCCATACAAAACAATGCTTAAGGGGTATGACTGTATGGGCTCTGATGCAACACGTACTACCACAGAGTATGGTAAAGCCCCGCACCAACTAACACCTCTAAATATTAAAGCCTGTAAGAGTCAAATATACACAGGATCTGTTTCTGTCGTGGATATCTCCTGCTCGTCAAGTTGTGCCAAGGACACTAAAGCATTCATGTTTGAAATGAGTTGTATTCAAGTATTATATGCACATACAAAAACACTGGATATGAATAATGATGATAACCATTGGCCTCAATCATTAAAGAAAGACAGAAAACACTTTGATTCAAAGGGTTTATGAGTGTATTTTTCTTTGAAGTAAAAAAACAACATTTTGGGTTCTTATTTGCAATCCAAGTTCATTTGGAGTTCATTTGAAGTCCATTTGGAGTACTCTCTGTATTAGTATTTTTCCTTAAGATTCAGACTATTACTGTCCTTTGAATCAAACACTATGGAGATGATAATTAACATACATCATCCCCACTTATATTCTGTCTCCAAAGCAAACCACGAATAAAGTTAATGAGTGTCAAAAATCAATACAAACAAAATATATCCTTAAAGAGGGAAGGAAGGTTAGAGGGAAGGAACATTTTGTTCTGTTTTCTGCACAAGCAAATAGGGGCACACCTCAGATGTTACGCTTTAGCAATACCATTTAGGAAGAGCATCTAGAGATGAGCAAAAAAAATAAATCTTTTTATCATATTGAGGTAGCTGTGCTCTGCCCAGTGCAGAAAAACTGGCTTCTTTTCAAATCATTATAGTAAAAAAACCAAAACACATCCATGAATTGAATTTATATTCTAACATTAAGGGGGAGGGGGGGACACACACAATTAAATTAGAAATGAGAAACCACATAGAGTTCATGCTTTGTCACAGGACATGCGGTTTTTGCTTTTTCGGAATTCTTTTTCTTTTTTTCTTTTGTTTAAGCGGAGCATTCAAACGTTCACTCCCAAACCTTTCCCTCGTCCTCGTCTGTCACACAGAGCTCGTCCTCTCTGAAAGAGTTTTGAGTATATACTGAAGACACAATGGTAAACATTAGAAAACAAAAACAAAAAAAATCAAGGCGGTATGTCTAAGCCACGCTGGTCAAAAGATTTACAAAGCCATTAAAAAAAAAAAGTTGCATAAAATTCAATCTCTGTACAGATCAACTGATTTATGATATCTTAAATTTTCTTTTCTTGAAGAGGGATGCTTAACAAAATAATTTGCAGTAGTGATATAAGACAAATGATATTTCCAAAATCATTAAAAATATCAACCTTAAAGGCAATATTGACAGTAAGAGAAAAAAAAAATAATGGCTAAAGTATATTTTGTTTTCAACCAGCAACAAAGTCCACAGCTACGGGAGTGATGGTCTTCTAACACTCGCGTTTAAAGCCTCACCCGTTCTCAGATCCTATTCCAACTCAAACCAGGTGACTTCTATACTTCTAATTATAACATTTTATATTATTTGTTACGTTTCATGTGTTAAAGTTGGTCCTTCTCATACACACACGGTACACACACACTAACTCTACAAACACGCACACACACGCTAGCTATGCACATGTAGGAAGGCGGAGAGGGGAGAGGGGAGAGGGGAGAGGAAAGAGGGAGGTGATGGTGGTGGGAGGGGGGTGGAAAAGTCGAGGTTGTGCTCAAGTCAGTCAGGACCAGAACATGTCGGCCATGTTAGTGTCGGAGCTGTAGATCCAGAGAACCAAGGGGAGGGAAACGGCCACGAAGGGCCAGGAGATGCCCTCCATACATGCAGACAGGAAGCAGCCTTTGGAGCTGGCAGGCTTCTCCAGTTCTTTACCGGGCTCCAGGTAGTTCCTGGCGGCAAACTTGAGAAACTCATCCAGTAGAATGACGGGCAGTGAGATCTTGAGCACCATGAGCCATTGTGTCAGGTTCAGAGGGGTGATCTGGAAGATGATCTGAACAGAAGCACACAAGACAGAAGTCAAACTGCGGTGCAGGCTGCGTGGTACACGTTCCAATTCCAACAAACTTCATCACCACTGTAGCTTCATATTTGGCAACAGAATAAATCATTCTCGTTTCTTTCTTTGTGCCCCCTCTTTTCACAGTATCACATTCTGTGTCAAACTAAAAGGAATGTGTCTTACTGGAAGAGGCTCCACATAGAGGATGAGGAAGTGAAGGGACATGGAGAGGCAGATGGCTCCCAGTAGCCACACGTTCTCCCAGGGAGGCATCCTCAGCAGGGACTGGTTCTCTGACACACTTAGCAACAAAGACAAATGGACATATTTGTTAAAGTGTCACTCACTGACTTAAGACCAGGATGCTCTAATACCGACAGACAGTCAGAAATACTAGTGTAACAGTTCAAACAGTTTGGCTTGGAGCAAAAACTGTTGAAAATGTTGATATCTGGAGTTAAAAATGACTAAAAACAATCATGCCTTGCTCAAACTAACCTGTTCAGGGCATTGCACATCTCAATGGTGACCAGCACAGACAGGGCCATGGTCATAGGGTAAGGGGACTCAAACACCTTACAGTCCAGATCCTGGAAGTC